GTTGATATTATCAAAATGAATGTCCCCATTGATATTAATCACTTTGTCCTGCATCACATCATTCATCCATAGTTCGGTTTCTATCGCATTTGATCCTTCTGTCTGAATATGATACATAAGTAGAAAAATAATTCCATACTTCGACACAAGCGTTTGATGAAGCTACAAATCTACCTCAGATATAAGTCGAAACACTGATGCTGCTGCTCCTCGTGCTTCTGCATATGATTGTAAGAAATGAGTGACAAACGATATCTTAGCAATACATTGTCCAAAGATAATAGCTATCTACATATGATGATAGAAAATAATACTTCTATCGCATGAAAACAACATTGATTTACCACAAGAATATCGCTGATATAAGTTTTATCATCCTGTTGCTTGTGCATGATGAAAAAGCCGAAGAGGAAACAACACGAATAAATTAAATATTTGATGAAATATAACCAACCAGATAGAGTTCCTAAAATGGCACCTTTGCGTACAGTACTCCAATGAGTGCTGTCCAATTCTTTCTCGTATCTGTTTGATAACGAATAACAGTAAGAATCAACGAATTCCAGAATCAATTGTAAAAAAAATATATCGGCTTACCGTTTTTCTTCGAACTTACTACCGTTCAAGGAAAGAACAGTTCGAAGAGAACTAAACACTTCCTGAACGATTTGTCCTGCTTTCGAGTATGAATTCAGCTCATTTATTGCCTCTTTGGCACTAACCTATTGGTCGATATAAAGAAATAAAATTCATGAAAAATAAATAGATATACCTTGAAAAATATGTGTGTACCCATGTAGACCAAGGGTATAGTGTACAACATGATCGATGTCAATTTCCAGCTGATATATAAAGCCACAAACATACTGCCAGTAACACTGATAGCTACAGTTATCATTATTGATGAACGATAACCAATGCCTAATTCCAATTTGTCAACATTACTTAAAGACAAAAACAAAATGAACAAGATAGAAATGTTAGAGTGATCTACTTGAATAGTTTGGCATTGAGCTGACCAGTTGGCTTGGTATCAAAATATGAAATATTCTTATAAAAAAAGAGATTTCATGTGAGAACGAATATACGTATTTGCTACATACTCGTTGCATGATTGCTTGAAAAAGCCGTATACGTATATGAGCTGTTTGTCGTTTTGCGGTCAGTTCGAATAGATAGTATTGTAAAGCAATTGCAAAGAATGCTACTGTGGCAACGACTATACTCAAATGAAAAACGATTAATTCTTTTCTGATACTCGAGAAACAGCATCAATTTTACTAACTCAACAACAAATAAACTTTCTTCAGAATATTGTCTCGAAACACAGTCATATGTGATGATGATATAGACAATGTGTCACCATAGCCAGTTTTGCAAAATCTGATTAACAAATAACAAGAGAAAGAAAACGATGATCAATAGATTATGCAGATAACTATTCTAGTCTTTTTAAAAAGGGAAAAATGATGTGGAAATGTCCAAATAAAAATAAAAAATAATCATGCAAAATGGTCACACAAAATAACATTTCCAACTGTCTGATCCCTATATCGACTGGTACAAGCATATTTTTTCGCGTAATTTCTTAAACTCTCGTTAACCAAAATTGTATTTTTCAAGACTACAAGCACCAGTTTGCTCTTTCAGGATAAGTAAGACTTGTGAAGTCTTTTCAGATTTCTATATAAAATACTTTTGGAAGTGAAAGATGGAAAGTTTCTCTCATCAACAAATGAGTTTGAAATTCAAATCTATTTTATCTATCCAATAGAAGTAGAAAGCTTAGGAAAGTATGCATCGACACTTTCTGCTCCGACTCTGTATCAGGAGGATGACTTTTCTTACAGCTGAGCTTTTGCATATGTCGAAATATTTGCACATTTTTTTATTCTATGAGAAATTTAGTTAAGAAATAAGATAAAATGCTTATTATTTATTTTTATCGACGCATAGTTCAATACTATATACTCTTGGAAAACAAAGGCTGCAGTCGGTATTTCAGTTCTTTTGATACTCAAAAAGGACATTGTGAGAAAAATAATTTCACCACTCGATAACGATCTGTTTTTTTTGGCTGTGAATTTCACTTTTTTTTCAAAAGATTTTTTTTACTATGGAGATTGAAGTTTGGAAAACTAATTATAGATTCTAATAGCCTCTGTCACTTTCCGCTATTCTTTATATTTACATCTTGTCTTCAAATTATCTACCAAGGAAGAAATCGAGAATTAGTGAGATATTCTCTTAAAAGACTTCAAATGATAGGATTTTTACAGTTCCGAAATTTGAAGATGACCGAAAATGTTAACGATTATTAGAATATATAATTATTTCTCTGAAAATATTTGCTTTTATTGCAAAGAAATGTTAAATAAAGAATAAGTTGTAGTAAAAAAAAACTCGTTTGCTAGAGTCTATCTAACAAGTCACCCATTGATTAACAGACTTAGTCTTCAGTATATACATTGACGATAAGATAGAAACGTATAGAGTGATAGAGGCTTATAAAGATGATAAGAATCGATAATTCTCTTAATAAATATTTATTCTAATAGTAAGCATTAATTGAGAGAAAGTTCAAAAATAGTGAATTTTCATTGTTGCCAAATTAATATTCCTAATTTTAATAATGAAAGGCAAAAGTCATTTATATAGGATGATAGAGAATTCCAACTTCTATCGAATAGTAGAACTGTTTTTCTCAAAGAGTCCATTCCGAGTGCCACAAGAAGCTATAATACTGACTACTGTTTTTGTTTTCTAGGGGTCTAAAATGACCATAGAAACATATTTACAGATTTTATCTCTTTTTTTTGTAGATGTGTGAAGATGAAAATGTGCGATATATTGTAATATCCATGGCACTAATGGGGAAAATAGCTTTAAGAATTGCAAACTTTGTGAAAAATAAGTTCTATCGTCGAATGCATCAGTTTTAACGTGGTCTTATAGTGTCTCTTGAAACTGAAATTTTAGGAGAAAAATATATCGGAAGAATAGCACAGAAAAATCTAGATCTGAAATCTATCTGGTTTCCTTAGAGAAACGCTTTTGTATTTTTTTTTTATTCACTGTTATTTATTTTCACTTGGGGATGATTTTATTAGATATAACAGATCATATCGTTGAATTATAATTCTTCTCGGCATGGATAAGAACACTTGTACTTTTGCTTAACTTACTTGTGCATTCGATCGTAGTTAAAGGGAGTGAGTTCAATACCAAGTGGACATAGTTCTCTACTAATATTTGCAGATAAGTTCTGCAACTGCTGATCGCAAATACCGATAAATGATTGCAAGGCAAATGTACCCGTGGCCCGACCAAAAAGGACGACATATGCAATAAAATTAAAGCCATACAGTAGAGAACCAATAAGGCCGATGCTTAACATTACGTAATCAGTTCGATCGGCGAAACGAAACTAAGTTTAAAAAAAAGACAAAAGATAGGGAATTCAAATCAATAGTATAACCATGTTAACCAGTGGTGTACCGAGGAAGACGAAGAGTCCATTCTGGAAAATTTTTCGGTTAGGAACTATGAGTTAGAAAATTGTTTCACTCAAGCTTTTTGTGAAAGTCCATCACGGGTCTGTCTCTGAAACATTTCTACGCACCACATTGATGTTTACATTAGCAAATCATGCAAGTGTGCATATATTTATGTATGTATTAGCACTGAGATGGCCGATGAGTGTATATAACTGAAAGATCTCACATGTTTCTAAAGAAGATTTTAGCAAAAAGAGCATTGTCATGAAGCACACGTACATCATGAACATTTCCTATTGTTTCCAACAAAGATTTGTCATAATATAGGGTCAGAAAATAACTCGAAATTTCTTTTGGTTTTCTTTCGTTCTATTTACTGACAATGATACAAAAAAAGAACTGAAGAGAGTGCCATCAGTTCAGATCACTGTTCATAATTACTTGCAAATTCACTTTTCGTTGATAGTTGTATGAAGCCATTGGCAAAATAAGCGACTTCATCTCATATAGACTTTTCCTTCATCGTATAGACCTTAGTTTTGCTAATCTCAAACAACTTACTCATTGTTCAATATTCAGCAATAGTCACTATCGTTTATGTGACTAATATCAATTATTTCGGACAAGCAAATTTATTCTCTCAATTTCAATCTTACTCTTGGAGTGAGGAGAGTTCAATAAAGACAACGCATGCAAATTAAAAAAGTCTGCGTAAATGATACTTCAGAGAGAAGTGATGCCTTCATTGAAAGAATCAAGATCGCCGACTAATCTGTCAGACATCTGATTCATGCATTTAAATGAGAGAAACTAGTCATAGTAAAAAACGAGAATCGATTTAATGGTAAATACAACGGAATGCACTTCGACAATGTAAATTCATGTTTGTTGAAAATTTGTCCGCCAGACATGTACTCGTAACATTAATATGAATGTGAAAAGGCAACGAGAAATGATGGTATGTGAAATAGAACTCAGAAAACTTTTTTCTTAGAATAGTGATAATTAAAAGAGAAAAAAATCGAATTGCATATTTGCATCTATTCTAATTGATTTCCATCTATTTCAAAGAAGGAATTACAGTATCTTAGTATCGAATTATATCGATGGTACTAGAACGGCGCGACTTTTTGATATAGCGAATTACGACTGGTGTCTCCATTGAGGAAAAGTAGCGTTTATCATAGATTTTGGTCTTTCATCGGACATAAGTATGTATGAGTGGCTGTTTTAGTGCACACATCTTATATAGGCATGGAAAAATGCCATTTTTGCGTAGACTGACTTTTGCATACGAAAAATTTCCTCATGCATAAAATGCTTCTGTAAACATAGCATATGTTCCTTGTTCGAATAATTACACTTACTAATTGAAACAAGCCAACCGCCGATTCATTGCTACCATAATCCTTGCCATGATGTTTTCTATTATCATCAATTGAATCTCCACTAATGAAACTTCGAAACCAGTCCGCGATTCTATGAAGAGATGGTACATCATTGTTTAGGCATACAAACATCACTTATCTATTACCTGCTGGTCGATCGAGATTTCTTATCAGATCCATCATAATTGTTCGACGAAGAATTGACTTTAGATAGCAACGGTTGAGTATCACTGGTTTTAACCTGCGCACACATGTTGCTTTTAATTTGATTGACTATGAATGAATCAATCTATGAATATATACGACGAATAGAAAGTAATACGCTTGATTGAGTACGCTTATCTACCGAGCATTATTGCCTTGCAATAGAAGGATAAAATAAACAACGTGAAAAGAGAAGGTTTTGTGCTAATGCATAGTAGAATAATAGACTATCTTTTAGTAGTTCATTGTTCTGCGTGCAGCGCTCTGTCAAATTTAATACGAAATTTCGAAAGCATTTTTCTTCAGTACAGACCAAAAGAATCTTGTTTAATTCTGACACTATGCACTAAAATCACTGTAGTTCAAAAATCTGCTCCAAGCCATTATGTTTATAAGAGGAGAAGCTCTCTCAACCTCCATACACCCTTACATTCATTACTTTTATACAATAACTTTCATAAAATACCCAGTTCGATGATTTCTATTAGAATGTATGCAAAACTTGAAATGATGATTTAAAGTTCTATATGCTCCGTCATTTAGTGCTACTACAGAAGCATGTAATAATGATGGACAGCTAATAGACATAAGTTCTGTAAGTTTTTATTTCACATTCATCAGAACATTATGAAATATTTCGATCACAGAGCAATGGTATGAAGTGAACCACATGATATATCTTATCTCATCAATCTCTGATACGAATCGTTAGGCGACAACTGATTGTGTCTTGAATATATACGATCTTAAATGGTCAACAGGAATTTTTATGATGTGCTTCTGCAAATAATTAGATCTTTTTGGTACATTATGGATATGCGAAGCAATTTAGTAAAGAAAAAGTAACAATAGTATATGTATGGCATTAATTATTAATCAGAAATACTGTCAAGAATAGTTAATACTTTTGTCTGACGAATGATGTATCCAAGTGGTAAATCGCTTTTTTCTCAAAATTAATTGCACTGGATTTGAATATCAAAATTATAAGACCCATACATCTGCCTTGCTTTAATAGATAAA